TTTTTAATGATGGAAATGAATAAGTAGAGGATCTTTTGATCATGGAAATCCCACTGCCAATTGTATACAACAATTACAAGAAATTAAACTGCAATTTTTTTTTAATTAGAGAAGAGTTAGCCTTGTCTCACTGCCAGACCAAATTAAAAAAAAAAAAAAATCTATGCTAGTTCCACCAATACCATCTTAGAACTAGGACTTGGGGAATGTTTACTGTAGTTTTTGTTTACCTTCTTCTCCAGACAAGACTAAACTTTTATTCTTTATGTCTATGAAAAAAAATTGCAAGAGTCACCACTCTATTACCTAGTGATTAGATCACTGGGCATTTTTTCAGGTAGCTCTGACAGTCTTTCAAGTTTTCTGCCTGAAGGCAGAGTTCTTCAACCATATGAACATCCTAGGGTGCCCAGACTGGTAGGGAAGGACAGGCTCACTCTGTAAGTGGCCTGTAGCAGAGAAGGTTGACCAAGTGTCTGCAGCTGAGGCCATGCGGGGACAGTTACAAGTGCAGAAATATTCTCGCCAGTCTTATTTTTTCACTTGGGCCACAAAGTAAAGGCCCAAGATTGGCAACCAATCACCATCTTTTCTTATACCCTCTCTGGAACTCTGAAAGATAAGTTTCTCCATCAGTTATAAATGTATGTGCGTGTGTGTGTGTGTGTGTGTGTGTGTTTGTATATGTGTGTGAAGATGAAGCTAGTGTAGAAAAAGAAAAGTATGCCCAGGATGAGTACCAAGAAGAAATGTTTATAAAAGATCCTTAACGATGCGGTTCTCATCCTTAGTGTACTGTAGGTAAACCATTTCTTAGGAGTTTTTTTTTAGTATTATTGATTAATTTTCTTCTTTAGATATTTCAGTATTATATTTTTTAACAGCAAAATACCTACTTTATTTTGAAGGGTTTTTTTTTTCTATAGTCGTTCTTTTTTTTCTTTATTTCAATAGGTTTTGGGGGAACAGGTAGTATTTGATTATATGAATAAGTTATTTATTGATGACTTCTAAGATTTTAGTGCACCTATCACCCAAATAGTGTACATTGTACCCAACATGTAGTCTTTTATCCCCCACGCTCTTCCCACCCTTCCCCTGAGTCCTCAGAGTCCATTGTATTATTCTTATGGCTTTGAGTCCTCATAGCTTAGCTCTTACTTATGAATGAGAACATACAATGTTTGGTTTTTCATTCCTGAGTTACTTCACTTAGAATAATGGTCTCCAATTCCATGCAAGTTTCTGCAAATGCCATTATGTTGTTCCTTTTTATGGCTGAGTAGTATCCCATGGTATCTGTGATGTGTGTGTGTGTGTGTGTGTGTGTGTGTGTGTGTGTGTGTGTGTGTGTCACATTTTCTTTATCTACTTGTTTATTGATGAGCTTTTGGGCTGGTTACACATTTTTGCAGATGTGACTTGTGATGCTATAAACATGTGTGTGCAAGTATCTTTTTCATATAAGTACTTATTTTTCCTTCTGGTAGATACTCAATAGTCAGATTGCTGGATCAAATGGTAGTTCTACTTTCAGGAATCTAAAAGTTCTTTTTAAGGAACATTGCGTTCTCCACCAACAGTGGGAATGTGAAACCTCTTAGAAGAGATTTTAAGACCCAAGTATACAAGGGGACTTCAAAAAGTTCATGGAAAAAGCCTACTGTGAAAAAACTATACATGGATTTCAAAAAAAAAAAAGTACCAAAATAAACTTGTACTAACTATGACATGTTTGAACAGAATCTAGTTTGAAGCACTAAGGAAGGATAAGACGTTAATTTGAAAAAATAGCCTCTATCAGAGCAATATGAATTCTGCTAAAATTGAAGCAAGAACCAACATCAAATTTATGGTGAAGCTTGGATGGAAACATGGTAAAATCATTGTTACTTTACAAAAAGCTTATGGGGACAATGCCTCCAAATAAATCAGCAGTTTACAAACTTACTTTAAGAAGGGGTGAAACAATGTTGAATATGAAGCCCTCAATGGCAGGTCATCCACATCAATTTGTGAGGAAAAAAATAATTTTATACATGCCCTAATTGAAGGGGACCAAAGACTAACAGCAGAAACAATAGTCAATGCCACTGACATCTCAACTGATTCAGCTTACATAATTCTGACTGAAAAATTATAGTTAAGCAATCCACTCAATGGGTGCCAAAACCATTGTGCCCAGATCACCTGCAGACAAGAGCAGAGCTTTCAATGGAAGTTTTAAACAGGTGGGATCAAGATCCTGAAGCATTTCCTTGAAGAATTGTAACAGGAAAAGAAACCAAGCTTTACCACTATGATCCTGAAGGCAAAGCACAGTCAGAGCAATGGCTACCAAGAGGTGTGAGTGGCCCAGTCAAAGCACAACTGGACCAGTCAAGAACAAAGGTCATGGCAATGTTTTGGGGATGCTCAAGGCATTTCACTTGTTGACCTTCTGAAGGATGAAAGAACAGGAACATCTGCTTATTATAAGAGTGTTTTGAGAAGGTTAGCGAAAACTTTAGCTGAAAAACACGCACAAAAGCTTCCCCACAGTCTTTCTCCACAATGACAATGCTCCTGCTCACTCCTCTTGTCAAAAAAGTTCAATTTTGCAAGAGTTTTGTTGGGAAATAATTAGTATCTACCTTATAATCCTGATTTGGCTCCTTCTGACTTCATTTTATTTTATAATAAGAGCACCCATTTTGTTTTGTTTTGTTTTTTCAGTTAATAATGTAAAAAAAAAAAAAAAAAGGCTACATTGATGTGGTTATATTCCCAGGACCCTCAGTTTCTTCAGGATGGACTAAATGGCTGGCATCATGGCTTACAAAGTGTCTTGACCTTGATGCAGCTTATGTTAAGAAATAAAGTTCATATTTTTATTTTCTCTCTTAATTTTATTTTTCTGTGAGCTTTTTGAAGTCCCCTTGGACCTTGCTTGAGAGCACAGCTGTCTGCCCATCTCAACTACATTTCACAAGAAGAAAAAATTATAACAGGGTAGGGGTTAGAGGTCTCATACTTTATGTAAGAGACTGCAAGAATTACTCGGTATGACATACTCTGCCTTTGACATATTGACTTGAACTCTCAAACCAGTCCAGCTTCTCTATCATCACTGCCATTGCCTTAATTCAGGCATTTCAACCATCCTACTAACAACAATACAGTAGTCTTACTGATTGGCCTCCAGTCCTACTGTCTCTACAAACCAACCCAGACACTCCACAAACGGTATCCAAAAACATGTACCCCTGCCTTCTGTTTTGTGTCATTGTGACATTCCCCTGCTTCACACAATGACCTCTGTTTTGCCTTCAGAATATAGTCCCTGAATGCCAGGGATTATGTTCTTGTCTAACATTGCAGTCCTGGCATCTGCAGGGCCTAGATGTACTTGGCCCATGATAAGGAAGAAAGGAAGACAGAACAATGATAGATAAGATAGATCCCTTCTAATTAAAAGCTTTTGTAGATCTCTCCCTTGTACCATGCCCAACCTGGAGCAGACTCTCTCACCTTTGCCCTTGCTTCACTTCTGAAAGGAAGATTTTATTTAGATTGCAATCATTATGTTGAGTGTATATGATGGTAAAACATTCAGGAAGAAACTGAACAGTCCAATCAGTCACCCAAATATTTGTTTTAAAAATTCCAACCTTTGTAAATAACTAGATGCTGGGTTCTGAAGGGCGAAGGAATAGCTTACTGAAACTGAGTGTTAAGATACGCATTGTCAGACACCAAATAATGTCTTCAAAATGTACTCTGCTTTTAGTTTTTTCTCTATTCTATCATTTTACATTTGTTTATTATATATATTTAAATAGATAAGTCAAATTGGAAGAATCTACCATGACAGGTACATGCAGTGATCACGCAGTTTAAATGTATTATTTTATAACAGAAAAATCTACCTATTGAAATAGCACTATGTTTCTCATTTTCATTATCTACTTTCATTGCCTTTGATTTCATGTTTGTAAGTCTTCCTTTATTGGATTTAAAAATTTAAACTTTTGGCTGGGCATGGTGGCTCATGCCTGTCATCCCAGCATCTTGGGAGGCTGAGGTGGGTGGATCACGAGGTCACATTCAAGACCAGCCTGGCTGAGGTGGTGAAACCCCGTCTCTACTAAAATGCAAAAATTAACTGGGTGTGGTGATGCATGCCTGTAATCCCAGCTACTTGGGATGCTGAGGCAGAGAATTGCTTGAACCTGGGAGGCTGAGGTTGCAGTTAGCAGAGATTGTGACACTGCGCTCCAGCCTGGGTGACAGAGCGAGACTCCGTCCCAAAAAAAAAAAAAAAAAAAAAATTTAACTTTTGCATTTCTGTGGATAATCACAGAACTGTGGACTTGGAAAATTATTGTAGCTTTTATTTTCAGCTTTCCAAGTATTTATGCTTAATGAGGTTTACATTTTGTGGCATTAATACACTTTCTAGAAAAGACTAAAATTTTCATATAGGAAAAATACTTTATAAAACGTGTTCTATTATCTATTGCTCTTGAAAAACAAAACTGCCCTACAGTAAGGTAAAAATGCTTCCCTAGACCCACTTGCATGTATTAATAGAGTACCATTTCTCTGCTTAAGTAGGCTAAATACCATCAGTTCTAGTTATTTCTTTTTCCATGGAGTTAACTTATCAGAAAGTCAAAGTATATGATTCTTAGATGTTTTAGATGACTTGCTATGGATTCTCTTCTTTTAGACATTCTTTGGAATGAATATTAGTAACTACTTCTTAAATGTTCTCTTGTTATTCATAAGTAAAAAATATGCCTTACCCAGACCAAGTACTATATCACAGGACATTTTAGCAAATGGTTTATACCTATTTGCATTGCTAGTTTTAGTTACTCATATTTTTCTTTACAGATTAAAGTAAAATTTACATATATGTGCTTTTGCTTTATTCCTAGAAAATATGAATTTATGAAGAACTTGTACTCACCACAAATTTCTGCTCAAAATAATTTTCATTTTGTTCCCCAATGTAGGGTAACCACAGTATCCAGGGTTCTCCAGGCCCAACAACTGGTCCTTCAGGATTAACTCAGTTAACTTTAGAGAGCCTGCTGGGGAAAGCTGCAAGGTGGACAAGTAAGGAATATATAAAGAGCACCTACACAGAAGCAGGAGCCACAGAAAGCCAGGATTCCTCGGCGAAGCAAAGAGATAGAAATGACTTTCAAATGAGTTTGTTGCCTATACCATGCCTTTCTCCAACTGGAAGAAGTTGTGGATCCTCTCAGAAAACTCCAGACCCCCTAATCAAAGCAAAGGACCTACCAGCCCAGCAAGTGCCAGCTTCGCTAAATAAAATCTCCCTGAAAGAAATCTCAGGGGAAAGGCTGAGCTCAATCCCTGAAGCATCTGTAAGTGGTTCCATGTGGTTTATAGATACCGGCAATATGTCCTGCTGTGTTCCGTTGTGTTCCACACACATTCTTAGCAGTATCTATTTTTCATCATTTGAGTGATCAGTAATGTATTTTCTTTCCTATTCTGATGTGTTTTAGTTCAGTAACAGCAGCTGTTAAAGAGTCCACTGCACATCCCGAGGATAATAGAAAACCTCATGTTTTTAATGAGAAAGATAATTATGTAATTTTCATCTTAACAGTTATTTTTTATTTCCTAGTTACTTCCCATAATTTTTAGTTATCACTGCCTGCAAATTATAAATGACGATCTGATTTTTGAGCCAAAAGCTTGCCAGTAAAATTGACAGATTTTCAATAACAATCTACATTAGGAGCTGTAAAAGCATCATTATTCTGTTCACTTTCTGGTCTCTCTGCAGCAGTTCCCCAAATAATAAATGATATGAGTGAAGGTTAACAGTAAAGCAGTGTCATCGAACAAATCCCTTGGCTAGTTTGGTGGCTGTATTCATATCCATCAAATTGATTTTTTCCTTCTGGTATTAGTACTTTTCTTCCTTCAATTCCCCTATAAGCTACACTTAGAAACTAGAGAACAAATGAGGCCATGCAGAATACATGACGTGTATATTCCATTTGTTTAAACATTAAAGATTTTCTTTATGTTTTATGTCCTAAATATTCTGTGGGTGTTGCATCGTAAAGCTTTGGTTCAATTATGTTCTAAGAAAGTTAGAGTGGATTAATTGTTAGCTGGCACAGGTAGTAGATATATTCATAATTATCATCAGCAAAATAGAAGTAGCTAATATTTTGTGAACATTTATCATGTGCCAGTCAATGTACCAAGCCCTTTTCCATGAAGTATTTCACTTACTCCTCACAGCAACCCTGCGAGATAAGGACTGCCATTATTTGCACATCATTTTCAAATGAGGAAGCTTATGAAACTTTAGCATAGTTATGCAGTTTTTTCAAGGACAACAGCTAGTTAATTGAGGAGGGACAACTTGAACCTAGATTCTGACTCTAGAACTATTTCCAGCCTGCTCTGCAGCATAAACATGGGTTAGATTGCTATATGGGATATATTACTATATCCACCCTACTCTGCCGCATAAACTTGGGTTAAGTCTTGTAAAACTGATAGCCTCTCTCAAGAAACATCTAAAGATAGAACTGAAATGTGTTCCTCTTTTTCTGTCACATGCATGTGTGCACGTGTGTTTGTGTGTGTGTGTGTGTGTGTGTGTGTGTGTATGAGAAAATAGTAAATCACTTAATCTAGTGAAAATGTATTTGCTTCATGGTGATTTAGGATGAAAGTTGTCAGTAATTTTTTCCATGTTTTTCACTGTTGAAAACTTTTCTTAAAACAAGCAAACGTTCTTGCTCTAACTAATTGTATTTTTTTTCCTTTGGTTGTGCTAATGAATTTGAATGTAGCTAGTATACTAGCCTATGGATTTATTCTATAGTACTGCTTCACTTGACAGCAGCCAATATTGGGCTGCCAAAAACAGAAACAAAGCCAGTCTTTGAGAAGCATTTCACTTTGTTACCCCCCTAATTTCTTGGTCACTTACCTTCTGTTAGAGTCTGTCATCCAGTATATCCAAAAGTTAATGATTTTCAAACTTCTTATTTTTTCTGTAGAAGTAGAACCAATGCACAAAGATAAGTTTGGAAACTTCAGGCACAGATGAACTTGATGTACTCAACACGGTGCACTACCTAAAAAATAGTTCTCTCTGACAATACCAGGAAATAATAAAAGGAAGAAAGAGACCAAAGCTTGGAGGAAGAGCCAGGGACTTACTCTCACCTGTTAAGTTCATTTAAGAGGCTTTTCTGATAAGACAGTTCCCAGAAACCATTTGGATTATTTCAGGAGAGCTTTTCTATAACTACTCACTGTGGATTACAAAGTACAAGCCTGGTATATCTCTTCTTCCTCACAGGAACACTATAAGAAATTATCATTCCATTTTACAGTTAAGGAGACTGACTCAGAGCAATCATTTCAAAGGGATGAAGAAGGGGAAGGAACTTTATCTGTGATGAGGGGATAAAGGTATAAAAGCCTTGTTTCCCATATGTGCAGAGAAGTTTTCCTCAGTATCAAAACTCAGACAAATAAAATGTTGTATCTCAGCCAGGTGTGGTGGCTCACACCTGTAATCCCAGCATTTTGGGCAGCTAAGGCAGGAGGATCGCTGGAGCCCAAGAGTTGGAGACCAGCCTGGGCAACAAAGTGATACTTCTTCTCTACAAAAAAATAAAAAGAAAGAAAGGAAATTAGCTGGGCATAGTGGTGTGCACCTATAGTCCCAGCTACTTGGAAGGCTGAGGTAGGAGGAATTTTTGAGCCCAGAAGTTCAAGGCTGCACTGAGCCATGATCACACCACTGCACTCTAGCCTGGATCACAGGCAAGACCCTGTCTCAAAA